GTTATACCAATAGTTAAATTTCAGGTAAACATTTGCGATATAAATTCTTTCTTAAAGATCAATAATACGCTTGCACTCTTCAGATAAATAATAATTACGCCTCATTTTCACGAAACTGATATTTTTTTTTTAAGGCAGAGTTTTCGTAAGATATTAATGTATTAATATTTCAGAATCGAACTGCATTTATCAAAACGCAAATGTTTTATTTATTGATGCAAAATTAGAATTTCTACAAATTTGCTTCTAGTATATAATTGTTCTCTTTGCATCCAGATAGATTAATATATAAGAAGGCTTGTTTTTACAATTTAGTTTTGCATTACTGAAAATATTGATATATAAGTAATATTCATCACATTTTTCGAAGAAAAATTTAATAAAATATTCCCTGAACTGATCATTTTGAGATTTGATAAGTAAATAATAGAGATGTGTGTTCAGTTAATTAATTTCGTAGTTTCTAATTTGAAATTTTAATAAGTAAATATTAGAGTATACACACTAATAAGTAAATATTGTTACGAAATATCCAACCGCGGTAAGATAGCTTTCCCGTAAAGGGGCTATAGGATTACCAGAAAATGGCAAAGGGCGGTAGAGTTGCCAGATTTGGCGAGAAATAGCCCATTTGGAAACATCTGGTGACAAAACTGGCCACGTGCCATAGACGGAGCGAGAACATTCTAGAACAAATTCTTACTGCTTTACCTCAGAATGTTCTCGAAAGCAGGTCAAGAGAAACACTGTACGCGGAGTGCAGTGCATCGTCGAGTTTATCGGCAGTGTATCGTGAGTTTTATCGTGAAGAGTATCTTGAGTGTGTTGAGCTCCGAGACCGATCGACCGAGTCAGGATCTGTAGTTAGAGTTTTGCCGTGAAGTTGTCTTCACCGTTATAGCCTGATAGTCTGAAGGCTATGTTTCTGATTGTTTCAGCCTGTTTGTCGTAGCTTTTCGACAACTGTAACGCGTCTTTGGAATTGTCTTCTGTAATACTGACAAATAAATTATGTTTTGATTCTTTATAAAGTGTTGTCATTGATCACTCCAAAACCTCGAACCCGCAGAATGCAACAATATTAAAGTTGTGTATTCAGTTGATTAATTTCATAACGACAAATTAACAACTACTTCTAAATTGAGACTATGAAATAGTGTCAAATTAAAAATAGTTTCTAATTTGACATTGTAATAAGTAAATATTAGATTTTACACGCTAATGTGTAAATATTAGAATTGCGTGTTCAGTTGATTAATTTCATTGTATCAAATTAGAAACTACTTCTCTTAACTTACAGAGAGGTCTACATAGTTGCAATTTTTTACAGCAAATCGGGATCGAGATTGAGATCTCTATTAAACTGTCATCAAACAAATGGTTTTGCTTAAATTCGAAAAGCCGGGTATTTTACTAAAGTCCAGAAAAGGTCAAACGCTTTGATAAAAATCCGATTAAAAGCGAGTGAATTGCATGGGCTAATTAGTATTTTCAGAAGTTAACACTTTTCGAATCCTTATCACTATTTTATTTGGCTAATTGTAAATATATGTCTTCTTAGCATACGCAAGTGAATTCTAAAGCGAATGAGTATTTGGCGACTAGGTTTCGTTTGGGCTGTATCGATACTTACCTGAAAAACTATTTCCTAAGGGTTTACAGTTAAAGAAAATTCAGGCCACTTTCTAATAGATACTTTTTAGCAAAGATATATGTGTGTTTCGGTGATTTTATCTCCAAGAAAGCAAATTTAATGCTATATAAACCATGTTACGTTGCATTCGCATAATGAATATCCGAATCAATTAATTTGCATTATATTTAAACGTAAATCTTTATGGAGTATGGAAATTTTTTATTGGAACGCTTGAAATGATCAATGAAATAAGTGAGTTAAATACGCTTGAAATAAGTGACTATTATTTCATTCACAAATAAAAAATTACCTATTGAAGTCTTTCGCGAAATAAACTTGCGAATTCCATAATTTATCTCTGTTTTTGAATTAAAGCATAAAAATCGATGATTCACGCGGAACCATCTAAACGGATGTGCTCTTTGCACTTTCGTTTCTTGGATCATTCCCGTTTCATTAAGTCTAAATCCAAAAGTTTTTTCCTTTACATCAGTCAGATCAGAGAAAATTTCTTAATCTTTCATAGACAATCTAGATAGTTTTAAAAAAAGTTCATTACGCAAAGCTAATGTTTTGCTCATTAATTAATCAAAATGTGAACTTTTCTTCTACACAAATATTTTTTTTCCGAAACTTAAATTAAATCCACGAATTTAAGTTCAATTTCGGAACATTTTGTAGGAACAGTTGACTGGAACTTTGAAACATACGAACGTATAAACCATCTCCCGCTGACTTCATCGCTTTGTGGTACAGGAGCAGCCGACTGCCATAGCTTTGGTCCCGAGTTCGAAACTGAAGAAGGAATGGATGCATAGTGCATCCACTATGCATTAAATAAATAGTGTCTTCTCAGCATGGCCTCACTTACAATACTGTCGAACAGAAAGTCTCCTCGACATTTTAATGGTAATAGAAGAGAGGCAGAGGACTCTCGTACGATTTCCTCAGTGGTTCTCTTTTAAAATTGGGACATAACTAAGCAAAAGTCATACCGGCACTTGTAAGATGCCGGCGCTCACCTTTTCTGAGCCGTGATGAATTCCATGGATCTGAACGAGAGATCCTCTCAAATCAAGTGGATTAGAAACAATAACAACTAATCAACTTCCACGCTAAGATCTCACTATTTTACAAAAAAAAAAAAAAAAAAAAAAAAAAAAAAAAAAAAAAAAAAAAAAAAAGATCCACTAAATCCACCACATTTAATGCGAATAACAAGACGGTTGGGACAAGTAACCATGGGGAATTAATTTCAGATATCTTTTTCCTAAGGTCATTATTGCATAACATTTATCTTCAGTAAAATAACGACACATTCTGTTAAAAAAAATTAGCCCTCTCTAAACTCATTTAAAAATTATTACTGTCAAAGTTCAGTTACAAATAAAAAATCATATTTTCTTTAGTTTTCTAATATTTCAGCGTTTAAATTTGAAATTTAATGTAGTTACAAAGCAGTAGAACACATGCAGAGAAAAAAATAATTCTGGAATGAGGAAGGAAGGAACTTTTCGACGTAGGATTTTAAAACATTTTACACGATTTTTTCTTAAATATTGATCCTAGGTATATACTGCTGTACCATCTAAGAAAACACAAAGTTTCTCAAGAAAGGACAGAAATTTTTTTTTAAAATTTCCACTTTGAAAGTAGGAGGCCTTAAAACGCAAGATGCTAAGTGCAGGCTGGAACATTTTATGGTCTTGTATAGCAAAAAATGTAGTTAATAAAAATCTTTATTTCAGTTTAATAAGTTAAAAAAAAGAACTCTACTCCTTTAAGGGCAGAATTCACAGAGATATTAGTAAAAAAATGCCATTGGCTTAGATTACTTTTCCTTTTTCAGTGATAGTATTACGAGTCTCCCGAATGTAACTGTATTTGGTGAAAAAGCATAAATGAATAATGCTTATTTTGACAAGTAATGGCTTTGCATTGGAAATATTAATTACCATTATATTCGTTAATTTTTTACATTAACATTTTTGTATTTAACTTTACCGAGCATAAAGAAAATTTTGCTAACTGCACTTTTTTACTGTAAGAGGACCATGTAAAAAATTAAACATTTTATTTAGAGAACCCTTTCCCCCAATTTGTGAAACTACTTTCATAAAATTGTTTACCTTAGTGTACTGCGATTATGAGTACATATCTAGAATTAATACTTAAGAAAATAAAGCCAGTAGTCTATTTTAAATGTTTTTTTTTTTTTTTTTTTTTTTTTTTTTTTTTTTTTTTTGTTGCTGAGTCCAGATTTCGCGGAAGAATGCTTCCCTGAGCCTCAAGGAGGTCGAACTTCTACTTCCACCTCAGTTTTGAGGAAACGGGTGGTGAGGGTTTCCACTCATGCCCCCTACCACCAAACCACAAGAGAGGACTTTCGGCTCGCCATATATTTAAAGGTGACTCCATGCCACAAAGACATTATACGTTTACAAACATCCATGCCTTCTGCGGGATTCGAATTAATTTTTTTAATGCTCCGTACAATAAAAGTTAAAAGGAGATAAAAGTGTAAATTTAGCTAAATAAAAATAAATAAATAACAACAATTGAAGAAAAAGATGAGAAGAAAAAGTATGCATAAATCCTGAGGAATACTATAATGCTCACTTCGTTACGTTTTTTTTTTTTGGGTCTTTTTAGCCTGGTTTGTCAATTATTAATGTGAAATCTCCGTAATCTCAAGTGTGCAACAATTTTACATTTTGAAATCCTGTTTGACGTTTCTGCTTAAGAACTGCAATTTTTTTTTTTTTTTTTTTTTAGTTCAACTTTCGCAAACTTATATCTTTAAATGAAAAACTACGTAACATTTCACATTTCTTTTATCACTTCAAAATGCTGACTTGGATATGCATCATATCCCTTCTAGAAAGTTTCATTCGAAGGCATTTCTCATGGAGCAAGTCAAGTCTGTTATCAAGGAATTTGGGTCCTTCCCATTTACTTCCATCGCTGCTAGCCATATTACTTATTTGCCAAATGATAAAATCACGAAATATTGCGGGAGGTGAAATATGTTGGATGATTTTTGTCAGCAAAATCGCTGTAACATCACAAAATTCCTACATAAGTAACACTAAATGTAAAATGTAAGGTTTCCATGTAAGCTTATCTTAGAAATACGAGACGCAAGTGATTCAATTAATAAAATGGATATGATGAAGGTTTTTAAACGAACTTTATTCAACCTCTTTTATTAATTGAATAACAGGTCTATAAACAGTTGATTTTTCATTTTCTTATTCTGATTGATATTCGTCATTCTTAAATTCCTAAATTTTGTTTGTTTATTACAGAAGTGTAAATTATAATAAAAAATTAAGTTTAAATATATTAACCTTTTCCTTTGCAGCCTTAAATGAACCAACAATCGATTATGGCTTCCAAAGGCTTGCTAAACTAATACCTCGGCATCCTGGTGATCCAGAAAAATTACCAAAGGTAATATATTAGTGTAATAAAATATTAAATGAAATCTGATTAAATAATTAATCAGGGTTTTCAGGTATGATATTATGTACATATTTATTCGCAAGCAAACAATTATGCCGGAGTCTGTGAGAAAATATAATATTATGTTAATGCCTCGCTTACTTAACAAACTGAAATAACTTAAACTCTACTGAAAATCGTTTACCTGTTGGTCTGATTGTATGGCCCACGAGCGATGGAGCGGTAAAAGTCGCTGAACACCGGTAGTTCGGTCCGAGGTTTGAATCCCGCGAACGAGCTGGCTGCATGGGCGTTTTCGGGGCTTTCCCTATGTGTGACGTGGATATGAGACAGTTTTCTTTAGAAAGTCATCCACGAAGGCATCCCCCCTAGGCAGATAGTCCTCGAATGCTTTGCCGTAATCAAATAAACCAAAACCTTAATTTTATATTATTACAATGTATTCGGCTCTCCGATAATTACAGCATATCTGGACCTTAATTTACCAAAGTGAATTAGAAGTATAATAATTAGAATTTCCCAAATTAGAAAGAAAAATTTAAATTTAATTAGCAAATGTAGCAATCCAATTAAATTAGAATAAATAGGCGATGAGAGTTCTTATTTTTAGCTGATATTATGCTACTTTGAGATTAATTTCTAAAATTATTTTGGCATTAGTGTGTTGAAACTAGAGCTGCAGAGGATAAAGAAATTTTACTTCTAAAAAAAATTGAATTGTATATTTACTCTACGCAGTTTTCATGGCTAAGGTTAAGTTAGGTTAGGTTATTTTAATTACGGCAAAGCCTCGGGGGCTATCTGCGTAAGGACAGTGATGCCTTCGTGGAGGATGTTCTAAGGGAAACTGGCTCGTATACATATATATATAATATATATATTATATCAAGAATTGTAAAATTTATTTGGCCCTTTTGTTTCTGCATATTCCATGACTTTTCTGAATTTCAGAAAAATCGTAGATTAACCTTATATTCATTTTTTGTTGATTTCAACTAACAGTTTATATAAAGACAAAATTTAAAATGTGTTCATCCATTTGAACTTCTCTTTGTTACGCCTTGTTAACGTTCTAAAAAATGCTGCTTGTAAACACATTTGGTGAAAAATATTATAATGAAATAATACAGTTAAATGCAGGTACAAATGCATGTATGCACATATACTGAAGCTTGAAATATCCGGAATAGCTGCAAATGCACTCCATAGGAAATTCAGAAAGTCCACCCAAATGGTTTATTTCTTTCCCATAAGCAAAACACATAATATTTATTGTAAACAAAGAAAATAATTTTGTTCACTATATGTTTTTCCAACAAAGATTATGCTGTTGGAAGGAGGGAGAAAATACTTATATATTCTCCCTTTTAAAGGGCGACTGGGGATTAGGGGACTCAGTCGCCAAATCCTGGTAGTGAAGTATTAACGCCCCCCGTTTTTAGTTCGGGCGCCATTGCAGAGTCATTAGGTTATTTTGAAGCAGGAGACTTGAAAATTGAGTAATGTCCTTGCCGGGACTTGAACCGACCTCCCGAATACGCGCAGAGTGTGCTACCGTTACACCACGAAAGCATACTGGAAGGAGAGAGGAAATACCTTATAAATGAACTTAGCATACTTTTCTAGACTAAATTAAAAATTTATTATTTTAGCTCCTTAATATACACCAATTTCTGTTTCAGTTAAAATTCTTAAAATATGATATTAATTTATAATATAGGCAGCTCTTGAATTAATCGTAAAATGTTGTTATTCTTTTTACACCAAAGTAAACAAAGAAATTATTTTTTATTTGAGCATAGCAAAATGAATAACCTATCTCTATACAATAAAAATTGAAATAAGACATTATTTATTCATGCTGAAAAGTAGCAATCTCTAGGTAAATGTCGCAAACTGACGTAAAAGAACAATAAAGTACCTTTCATATTATTATAAATAAAAAAAATCTCAATGACGTAATAAAATTAACAGTTGGCTTAACTTTACTTGCCCTGATAAGAGCAGGCGATCCCGGTAACTGGAAATCTGCATATATGGAATTTGGATAACTAAAGTTCTACTCTGTTTGCAAATATATGAATATCCATACGTTTGCATTGATAAAATCCTTGTTCTGTGCAAATATTTAAGATTTTTATATTTATCTTTTAATTTCTTTCATGTCCCTGTGATTTATATTCTGTGCATATATTTGAAACCTCTTAAGAAACATACTAACCGAAATAATTTGCATATTTTTGTTAATTCTGTTGCAGGAGATTATTCTGAAGCGGGCGGCTGATTTAGCTGAAGCCTTGTACAGTATGCCTCGAAATAACCAGTTAGCTCTGCCCGCGCCCCGGTCACCAGCTCTCAACAACGCAGCTGCCATGTCCGGCTTCAATGCCTACACAGGTCAGCTGGCTGTCAACGTGCAGGAGAACGGTAGGGACCCATGGCCCCACGTTCCCAATGCCTACTGCCATTGTCCAGGCAATCACATTGCTTAGGCTCACTTAGCCATAATGCATGTTCTGTCTTTATTCATCCTTTTTTCTTCTGTATCCTCTCTGCTTATTCATCAATAAGAAGCTCTCACTAATTTTTTAATATAATGTTTTTATAATGAATTATATGCTTTCAGATTCAGATTCTACTTTGCAGTTAAATATTAAATACAGTGGAGCCTCGTTATTTCGTCCTGAAATAAGTCGACATTCCGAATAGCATTACCTTACTTAAGAATTTGTTTTGGCTAGTAAATTATGCCATGAGTAAAATGTCATTCTCTCGACATTGTAAAGCTTATATAAGCGTAAGTCAGCCTAAATACTTCTTTCCAACAAAATCTTCTCTACTCAATATTTTCCAACAAGAGCAAGACTTTGGCATTACTTTATAAAATGGAGATTCAGAACATGAATAATAATTGGTATAGTATAATGCTTTTATCGTTAATAAGTAATGAAAAAAACTTACCTTAGCTTAATCCATTAACGTGTACTCCGTTAATGTTAGCACTCCGTTAACGTGCGAAAACTTCTGATGAAGAAAACATCTCGGAAGATGAATTGGCATTACAACCCACAAAACTTTTTAACAATGGATAAAAATGCCTGGTTCTTTTCAAAATGAAATTGTTAGAAACTATAGTTTATTTGCAATGAGGAAAAAAAAAAAAAAAAAAAAAAAACTATTATTGAGTGATTTTTTTAATGCGTTTGAAAACAATCTTTATTGTAAACAAGTTAAATCGCAATAAGTGATGACGCATTGTGTTGTATGACACAAAATTATTTACATTTAAGTGTAGAATAATTAACACGTTATATTTATATTTTTTAGAAAACTGAACTATTAAATTATGGGAAACTTTTTCCTCTTTACCTCGATAATTTAATAGCATCACAATTCGATTTAAACTTCTTTATTCCGTGATGCGTCGTCTTATCGAGGCTTCACTGCATTTCAGAGTTAATAAAGTGAAGATAAAGGAAGTTATTCCGTACTCGAAGGAAGCAAAATAAATAAATAAATAAGTAAGAGTTGAAAATTACACTTTTAAATCATATCTAAAAAGCACTTTGCGTCTTTTCAACATAAACAAACCACTTTTTTTTTAAATCTGAAAGAAAATATTTTAATTTACGCTGTTATAAATTCATTTAATTTGAGTAAATCTGTCCTTTAGAGCATTTTCTTTTTTTGAAGCTATGACTAAGTGAAGTAAAGAGTAGAATAAATTTTATTCTCAGTATTAAAAATATTTGCACAAATGGACTAGTAAAAGGAGCATTGATCTAGATGTGATGGATATCATTGCCGTATCAGGAATCAGAATGTTAATTAGGTTATTGAGTAAACAAATTTTATGGAAAAGATAATACTTGGGTTGAACCCCAAAATTGATTCCTATGGTTCCTTAAACCAAATTAAATATTCTACAGATCTGATCACTAATTACCTAAAAGTTAAATAACAAATAGTTTTTAAGGCATACATCTTAATGCAAGGGAAAAAGAAATATCAAAATTGGCACAAATGTATAACAAGCAATGACATTTTGCATGCTAGAAAGGTTGCAAACTTTGCGCAAGCAAAACAAAACAAAACAAAACAAAAAATTGCTATATCTCCTGTTCTACTGGGCTGATTGACGAAATTTAATTTGCGTTTTTCATGTCTCGAAAGCGCGACATAGGATATTAGAATTATATATAGCACTGTTCTAACATGGGAATTTTGACACAAAATCTGACTTTTCTGAAATGATATACCGATTTTTTTCCATACTTCGACTTTACGAATAAAATTATTCCTAAATATTAAATTGTGTAAAATTTGGTGAGAAACTTACCGAGAAATTTAAAAGTTTATCTTGGCGCATATTTTTCAGTTTGAGCCAAGAGATAGCCCTTGGCGAAATTCTTTATAGTAACACATTTTCCTTTCTCTTTCGTTGTGTACCAGAGGAAAAAAGGTGCATTATTCATTCTGTCAAATAATTTTAACAAAGTGCCTAAACCACATTTGGCGTTACCGTCACTAATACCAAACACGCCAATCAAAACACGCCAATGTATAAATTCACATCTTTTGAAATTCTAAATAAAAATTGTAATTATTTTTTGCAGATACGCCTAGAAATACATCTAATTTCATGTGATGGTAAAAATGTTAAAGGATATAATGTAAACATTTGTTCAAAAATTTATAAAAATTACTAAAAAATACACATTTAAAAAAATAAGTCAGAATAAAATCTGAGAATTTTATTTGGATTGAGCCTAAATTTCGAACTGTGAAAGAAGGAATCAAGTAAGTTTAATAAAAAAAGAGATATTATTAAATAAATATATACCAAATTCAGTTAACACTGAGGAGCTAAAATTTAAAGAGAGCTAACTTTTAAAACTATTTGCGCGATTTTAACAAAACTTGGCACTTTAGCATGACTTGAGTCGTAGAATCGGCACATGGAAAACTATAAGTGTGTCATCACAAAAAGAGCCCGATTTTGTGTCAAAAGGCCTATGTTAGAACAATGATATACGTAGCGTATTTGGAAACTAAGTACCGTTTCATTCTAGCGCCGTCGCAGCGCTGTGGTAGGCGTCCCGCGCATGCGCACTAGTCTTTCCTGTTCACTGACTTTCAATTGTCGCCATTTTGGTTGCTCTATGTTGTGTTTTCAGTTTGCTGTGCACATTCAAAATGTGTAAGACAATTAGTTCTCCCGCTGACTGTGAGATTCGTGCCGTGATTAAATTTTTGAACCCGAGGAATGTTAAACCGGCCGAAATTTATCGTCAAGTGACAGAAGTTTACGGTGAATACGCGATAAGTGATGGAATGGTGAGAAAGTGGGTAAGAATGTTTAATGCAGGTCGAACAAATGTCCACGCCGAGGCTCGGAGTGGTCGGCCTTCTGTTGTCACCGATGATTTGGTAAGGAAAGTTGATGAAGCAATTCATGAGAACAGACGCTTCACAATGACAACTCTTTCAGAGGCATTTCCACAAATTTCACGCACTGTTTTGTTCGAAATTGTGTCTGACCGCTTGAATTATCGCAAACTGTGTTTGGTGGCAAGCGCTTTGGATCTGACGATGACACGAAAAATGCTGTGGAGTCGTGGTTATCGAAACTGGCGGGAAGTTTCTTTGACGATGGTATACAAAAACTGGTCACCCGCTATGACAAGTGTTTGATCATTGGCGGAAACTATGTTGAAAAATAGTTTAAGACATGTATTTTCATGTAAAAATAAAATTGTTTTAGAAAAAAAAATTGTTTTACTATTTTTCTTTTTTTTCAAAACGGTACTTAGTTTCCGAATACGCCTCGTATATAAATCTAATATATATCCTAAGTCGCACTTTTGAGACATGAAAAACGCAAGTTGAATTTCGTCAAACGACTTAGTAGAACAAGAGATTTAGAACTGTACTTTTTTGGAGGGCAAAGTGTATATCTTGTACTCATGGATAAAAAAGACAAAGTGATTATTAGAAAACTTGTAATTAATGAGATATGAAACAAATGCTCTTCTCTCAAATAAATGAGAAAAATAATTTTAACATGGAATATGCCTCCGTTCAGGTATGAAAGCAAACATGGAATCCCCTCCAAATGCTGTTGATTAAATTGTCAAACACTTCAATTGTACGTAATGACAACAATGTGATAAACCCCGTTGCAATTCATTCAAGGATCTTGAAGTGGAGACAAAGCAATTACTGGCCCTCTTGCTGTAGTCTCATACGTGTTCCATACTAGATTTAAGAGCTGGTGATGTAGCTAATCGATCAGTTCCATTCATACCTTACTCGTCGTACAATGTACTTCATATAATGTACTCGTCGACGACATGCTGCGAGGACGTACTTTATTGTCCGTTACAGTAAAGGATTCTCCGATTGTAGCAGCATCTCGATATTACAACCGATCTATTACAAAGATCGAGAATATCGTTTCTGTATATTTGAGTTGTGATTGAACGAACAGGGAGCATACGCATACGCATGCCCTTTTTTAATCTCCTAAACTGATTCCTTATCCAACGAAGAAACTGTGCTGTGGTAAGTACCAGGCTGGACAATATTTGATCCTTACTCTCCTCTAGCTCATAACATGATGTGCTTCATATTATACAGAGTGCATGGCTCATCTTTGAAGAATACCAACTGCGTACTTTACATTACTCTTTGCTCTAGACGATGTGTCCTCTTGCTAATCTTAGTCATTATAATGTGCATGAACTAGTGAGTGGAATACAAACAATGGGGCTACTGGCAGACAGTCTATGATGTGCAGTCTTATGCTCACTATAGAGAACTAATTGTCTTGACACGTATATTTGTTAAGAAGATGACTCCATAAACGATAAAGAATATTACAACCCATATTAGCTGCCCTGTCTCTGCAGGATGTGACAGGTCCATTTCCATTAAATAAAGTCTCTCCCTATCTTAGATTTCTGCTCGACGTCGTTAACAGTATTTCAACAAGAAAGTTTCAACAAATGAAACTTTTTCCCCAAATCAGCCCATTTGCATTTATAAAATGTCGTCATCCAGCCTATTAAGCTCCAACATTTCGCAAATAAGCACTGAAAACTTTCCGTTGCTTATATATAATATATATATATATATATATATATATTAATTTCATCATTTACCTCTGCTATAAAGTTTATTTGACGACCTTATAATTATTTTTATGATACTACAGCGAGAATGTGTTTTCCTTATCTTCTGGAGCCTTAAACATATTGAACCATGCATGGCTGCTTTCACCACTTTATCAGTTTTAATTTTAAATATTTCAACAGTTTCTATAGTCTGTTGTATGATCATTATGATGCTTTACTTTTAATGCAGAGAATCGACATTAGTAAAGATTTTTCTACTTTAAACTTGAAAATTGTATTCAAGAGCTTTCGGTTTTTCGGATATATTTTATCCATGAGTCAAAGTAAATAACACATGAAAAATACACTAACGTGGAAATGCTTTTAATAAAATAATATTATTTAAACCAATATAATTTTCATTAAGATATACCTACACATGTTTTATTATAAAAAATATTACTGTCGTAGGGGTAGCGTATAAATGCTGATTAAAATAAGCAAACATTTTAAAATCAAATGATTTTATTCGGCCCTTAAAAGTGCGTGATCAACCGGTATTCCTTTCTACTCTGCAATGTTAGCAGAATGAAGAAATTCCGCAGTTTTACACAGAAAAACGCTTAATAGTTCAGGAAATGATATATTATTGTTTCAAAATAGTATAATCACTGTCAAATTTCAATCTTGGTTCTGGAAGTAAGGAAACTGGTTTAAATTCAATGTTTATAGATATCTTGAATTCTATTGTGCGTCACGCTAGTGAAAGGAAATATTATTTTATATACCCGTAAATGAAATAAAAATAATATACTACCATTGATAAAAGCAAAGTTTATTCATCACTTTTTACACGAGTTTGTATTTTTATACATATTTACGTAAAATCAGACTGTTAGCGAAATTTATTGCAATCACGTAATTTCGATTCCCTATATATACATGTAACTGAAAAATTATTTACGAGTTTGAAAAGAAAATTTAGTAAAAGTGCAAATTCAATAATTTTAAATTCTTTATTTACATATTTTATGATGTAGCAATTTGAAAGCAAAACATATTTTAAATTCAAATTATTTCTATACGTTGTTTGAACAATAATTATTACTAAAATACGAAACATTCTACTGAACATATATCACTCAACAGAAGTGCTTGGCTTATCACGGTTCCCAAATTACTTTGTTTCTATTAGTTACAGCTCTAGTTTTAAACTGTAGAAGCTTTGCTAAAATTTAGTTTAATCCCCCCTTCTCAAACATACTAGCTTTCCCTAATAAAATCACGAAATCATTGAATATTTCCTTTTTACAATAGAAGTGTTAGTTCAAGAAGGAAATAATTATCTTTTATTCATAATAAAGATCTTTTGATATTTTAATATATCATTTCGAATCGAGACATGTAATTAAGCATAGTTAAGTCAAATTATTTTATTCTCAGTTACGTATTATATTATTATGGCATTAGAAGTATCATTGATTAATCGCAATAATGCTGCATAAGTCATAATAATCAACTGGATATATAGTAAGTTAAATGCATCCTAAATTAAATTTACCTACTGTTAAAATCAAAATAAAATTTCAATTATTACGGAGTGCGTTTATAGTTGTTTAATCACTCAGTTTGTTAAGCAATTAAAATTGAAAAATAGATTTTAAGGTTCTAGGCTTTCTAACAAAACGAACACGCTGAAGAGCAAATTTAAGAGATAGCATGAAAACGAAAATCGCGTAACGTGAGTAAGTTTGCAGAACTTTAGTTTTGAAAGCTAAGCAGAATTTTCTTCATCAGTTGTAGGAATGAAAATGATGAGTTACGCTGATTTCTGTTGCTATAGTGTCTTTAACATTTTAGACTTTACTAAATGAAAAATACTCTGAAAGGGCTATCTGCAAGACAACGTGGAAAATAAATTAAAGATCTTGTTTTCTCGTAATGGTAACAGTTGACAAGTAGAGTGGATGATAAATTTATGTTCAAGTTTCGTAGAGTAAAATGATGTAAAAACATTCAACTTTGTATTTGATCGTATCAACAACATACACACATACACTTTCTACCAGTGAGATGGTGTTTATTTCCTTTCAAAATGATGTTTTTTTAAGTCTGTCGATCGGATAAAAAGCATCATGTTTTTCTGCCACCAGCGACCGAGCAGCAAAGGCGCTGAACACTGGTAGCTCTGTACGGGGTTCGAAATCCCGGCGAACGGGATGGCTGCATGAGCGTTTGGTTTTCCCCAGGTGTAACGTGTATACGAGCGAGTTTCCCTTAGAAAGTTCTCCACGATGGCTTCCATTCCCTTAGGCAGATACAGCTCGTGTGCGTTGCTTAAATTATATAAACCAAAGAAAAAACTTTCTGTTTTTGGCATGTGTAAACCAAAGTCGAGTATGTCCGGATCATTCACAAGAATACTGAAACAACTTTCATTAGATATTCTAACATTTGACGCGACTTCTCCGACATTTTTTCGATTATTGCTGCGAGCATCATTCCGAACATACTCAATGTTTCAATCAGCTATCGAAGCTCCAGTATGTAGTTACACTTACTCTCGTTTACAAAACACAATCTTTATAGAATCACTTACGCCAGTCATACAACAGCGCAGTAAGTTAGTAAGTTTTTTCAGTTCTAAAGTTTTTGAAGCATTTTAGCGAATCAGATGAGGATGTTGAAAGAAGTTATCAACTTGATTATGAAAGCTAAAAATAACTAGATAAAAATAAAGACAAATCAATCAATGAAATAAAATATTAGAAGTGGCAGTAAATGGAAAAAACGTAGGATTACATTAATAATAGAAAAATGTGTACTTTAAGAGAAATACTTTTCATTTCTAAGTAATTTTTGTTTCGTACTCTAAAAATGCTCGCCAAAAACACTTCTTATTAAACTGAGCGTTAACATTCTTCAGTATATGTTTTGGTTATAATTTGTACACAAAGAGCAAAGTGCTTCTTCTTCTGTATCATAAAAAGTGTTACAGTTGATTTCTCCCTAGATTTATTGTTTATTTTCTACTTTTGCGTAAAGGACAATTTGATAAGCTCGCATTTCTTTTCTTACCCTATCCTTGTCATTTGCCTGCAATCTGTCAATTACTTTCTTAGTTCTTTTTCTTTTATTTATTTAATGTGTATGAATTTCTTCCTATTAGCTTAGTTTTATTTTTTACTTTATATTTACTGGTTTTGAGTTAGTGAGTTATGTTTCTTTTTGTACAGATTACGGCAGGACGCAAAGCAACAGTGTTTCCCCTCGAGGCTATGGCTCCAACGCGTCGACACCGCACAGCGCTAACGGTAGTTCCTATGGCACCGCAGCTATGAATGGCGGCTATGGCAGTCCCACCAACCTTGGCAATATGGCGGTACCCGGTTCACCAGGCCTTTTTAATGGTATGGTATGAATTCGAAATAAAGCATTTCCACCTTTCATGCTTTTTTTGTTTGTTTGTTTTACGAGTGTTCATATAGGTACGTGAAAGGCTCAAAAATGGCCCTAATATGGCCTTCTTCCTAAAAAGAATCAAGAATCAAAAGTCATATATCAAATAGTTGCACTACGCATACCTTCCAATTGATGTCCAAGTTCCCTTGATCTGATAGAAAATGTAACATCTGCACAAAGCAGCTAAGATACTAGTTTATTTGGAAGCATGTTTGAAGAGGAAAGCGAGAAATTATCCGATTTTTGAACGCTGAAGTCAGAAATTAGTAGAGATTTATCAGAAGTACTAAAAGCGGCATTTTTAGAATTCTTCAGTCAGTCATGAGTAGAAACTTCGAAGAACTACCGGTTAGCAAGAACTTCAGTACCGACATTTTGGAAGCTGAGTTGAGAAACCGACACAGATTCATCAGAAGACACTGTCTGACGACAATGTCTAAAGACATTTTTACACTTCTTCACCAGGCTCATGAGCGGAAACCTCAAATAAGTATTTGTTAGCAAGGAATTTAGTACCGCATTTTGGAAGTTGATTTCAGAAACCAGATCAGCAGAAATTCATCACAAGCAGAACGAACGACATTTTTGAACTTCTTCATCAGGTTTCTCACTGGACACTTCAAAATGTTGGCAAGACGCTTAATACCGGCAATAATATGAAAGAAGCTGCGGTTTCTTGGATGAACGGGATGGGAACAATATTAAAAATCGTGAAGTGTTTTCAATGTACGTATTTTATTAATAAAAAGTAATAAAGTTCCTTTTTCATTCTTTCTTTTTTTTTATATCCACACTCAGAGACGGATACACGTACATTAATGGGAAACGAAATCTCAGCACCAAGAAGAAATTGTGCTAGATAAACGAAATTTGGGAGGCGCGTTTGCACATATGAAAGATCATGTCTATTGAAATTTTGCTCTAGGCGAATAAATGTGACGTTAATTTGCTTTAAATACGCTATTTTAACTTCGTATGCTCTTCCAGACTGGGCGTTATGAGCGAGATTTGAGTCAAGCATGCCTTTAAGGAGACGAAGTAGGCAGTATTATCTACTTATTGAGTTCGAAAAAGGCCGTGTAATAAGGCTACGAAAAGGCGACTTTGCAGAAAAACTTGGTAGAGATGTATTCACTATGCATGCGTGTTGGCAGCAGTAATAAGATACTATCTGAGGAAATCCGATGTCCAGACACATACGTGGGGAAAGAAAAGACCATAGTAATTTCCGCATGTCTGCAGCAGAGAGATACATCAAACTGTAATAAATTGATTACTTGAGGGACAGATCCGGGCCAGATGATCTGTAGTGGCTATACTACTAACTCCAAATCACTGCTATCTGAGATTTTGGGGTTGTCAAGTTAGAGCTTACTGTAAAGTGGAGTGGAGGTCTGTTGAGTTCTTAGATGAGAGCCGTTTCTGTTTTGGGGCCAGTGATGACAGTATATTGGTTAGAAGGAGGCGAAGTGAGCACTTAGAACCAAGCCGTCTGTGGCATATAGAAAAGAAAATGGAGACATTTCCTATGACAGCAGGAACACCTTCATCGTAATAGCCACTCACCTTGGCAGAAAAATTTTACCTCAGATGGTAACTGCATCGGTTGCACTGCCATTCCTGAGAAATATTCCAGGGACATGTTTCTAATAGAATAATTCTCCTCTCCTATAACTATTATACTATTATCACTCAACGCGCTCTACAGAGTGCCTTGGTCTGCAAGATCACTGGGTGTTTCTCCCAATGAGCACGGATGGGACACGACCGCACGACAAATCCAGCGTCATCCACAACCAGCTCTTTTTGACCAAGTGCAATAGGCATGGAATTGCATCCTACAAAATGACATACGGCACCTGTACGACGCAATGCATATGTGCTTGCATGCTTGCAATCAACATCGAGACGATTAAAGTGGTTATTTAATGTACCAACATTTCACATTTGAAACTTTTCGCTCATACTTTAACCTGTGACCTTGAAACATAAATTAATATGCTACCTAGAGAAATGCTTTGTCTGCTTTTGCTGTTGTTGTTGTGACTAATCTCGCTTGTCTGATATCAGAACAACGTGACAATGAGGCAAGATTGCGCTTGTCGTTCGCTAGAGGTTTGGACATCAAACAGCTGCCCCCAGTTCCGCCACCAGTTTTAAAGAACCTCAGTTCAGCCCCCCAATTTCAAAGAAGAGCAGGCCGGGATGACCTTTCCAGAGGACTTTCGGCTCGCCCCATATTTAGAGTGCCCCCATGTTGTGCAGAGACTATACATTTACAAACATTCATGCCTTCTCTGGGATTTGAAACCGGATCCTTCAGTACAGCAGTCAGCGTCGCTAACCACTATCCAGGTTAGACGGCTTGCCTACTTTTCTTTCCTCTAAATCGATTTCTTCATCTTATTGGGATTTCGTTTTCCATCAATCTATATACATCATAATTAGACCAACACTTTGATTACGTTTTAGGCTTAAGAATATAATTTTTGGCAAGAGATTCTGAACACATTCAATAATATTTCAATGAAACTTTGCGTTCGAAACGTTTACAATTTTGCCTTTTGAATTTAATCTTTAAATTTAATAAAATATAGTCTTCTCCTTATGCTGTTTTAATATAAACCTTCAGCTCGCAGAATTCTTAAAAGCTAATTTCTTTCAATATCACAGCAGTGTAAAAAAAAGCACACGGAACGTAACATTTTAAACAGAAGTTTGAGCTTATAGGCTTTTATTGATTTTTGCTTAGCAGCATCGGTAGCAAGACGTTGCTGTCTGAGATTTCAGTTATAATTACCCACTGTTATTCAGATTACGGTACGATTTTAGTTCTGTAAGCTCTGAGAGTAAGTTCTGAAGATTTTTCAGTTAATACCTAAATTAAAATTAATATTTTTTTACTTATGCTTTTTTTATTATTTAACCATTATTTTATTTTTTAAATCTAAAAATGTTAATTTTCTTTAAATCGTTACCGTGCTTTATATTTAAAACCATAAGATTTAACGTAAAGTGACAAGAACAAGGTACATAGAGAGGTAATAAATTTTTTACTTTGTTTTAAAAATTATTGCTCTGATTAACTACTGCCAAAATAGAAATGGTAACATTGTCAAGATACTCATGAAATATATCTTTGACGTAAAACTTATGCTTCTTTATGACTAAAATTTGGAGATCTTTAATTTTGTAAGAACATGTAGTTATTTCTAGTATTCTGACGAAATTACATATATTTTATTCAGCAAAAAATTTAGAAATAGAGCATGAACATAGATTCATCAGATTATATACGTAAAGTAACTGAGAACTACGTACTACAGCAAGAGATCTTTCGCGTTTGATATATACTGTACATAAAGTAACTGAGAACTACGTGTTACAGCAAGAGATCTTTCATGTTTGAAATAGAACTTAAACTAGTAAAATTATTGTAATGAGAGAAATTTCTATTGTATTCAAGATTTTTAAGAGACTCACTCTTCTACAAATAACCATGTGTTTTATACAAAAAACTGTGTAGATGTTACTTTAATTTTCTAACAGTTATTTTAAGTTTAAACATGCTTTACTGTCTATTCGTTTCCCATCTATTATTCCCTACCAGAATGAGTTTTAGTATAGCTTTTTATGCAAATGGGTTAGAACGAGTATTTAAGCAAGGTTAAACATATTTCGAGAGAGAGCTTAGGAGTGCTTACTGGCGCCCGAACTAAAAAGTGGTGGATGATGATTCTTCACCGCCAGAATTTAGCAACTGGGTCTCCGAATCTCCAGTCGCCCTTTAAGAAAAGGGATGGTCACTTTACTTAACTTGTGCCGCCAAACTAAGTTAATGGCACTACAGGGTTAGGAAGTCATCCTAGTCATTGCTAGCAATATGATGGTTAGGCCGCCTTTCTACATTTTACAGTAATCTGTAGTTTCTTGGATATAATTATTTTCATTCACTTGCTTCATTATCTCTAAGATGCCCTTGTTGCAGTAATAGTCCGTGAACAGTCTATTCACATAGTCGGAAGGAAAGAACCGCTGTCGAAGGTGCTCTGTCAGAGGGCAGGAGAGCAGGCAATGAAGTGCGTCCGCGTCTTCGATAGTATATAAGGCATTTTCTCCCTCCTTTCTGTATGCCTTCGTGGTGCAACGGTAGCACACTCGGAGTATTCGAGTCCCGGTGAAGGCATTGCTTATTTCATGTCGCTTTCTTTAAAATAACCTAATGACTCTACAACTGATTAATACTTTCGTCAAATATATTTTGCCAGATGTGAAAAGTTTGTTTTAAGATTATTAAGGATTCCAAAGAGTTTACATGAAATACGAAAAGAAGCGGTCTCAGAAATTGAATGGTACTAAAGCAAAAGTTCACGAAATGTGACTATCACAGTATCTCCATCGGAGGAGAAAAATCTGTGCTGAAAAGAAATGTTTTAGGGGCAAGCAGAGAAAATTCCATTTCGGTTTAAGTGAAACGCATTAAATGTCAATTATCGAAAAAGGGTACACCTTTTCTGTCAATTTAAGTAGGTAGAACTCAGAGCAGTGGCCTTTTATTTAAGTTAGGAGATTAGATCCGAACTTAAATCTCATTTATTTTCTTCAAAATGTTGCTAGTTTTTAAAAATCAACTAATGTATTCAATTATTTTTTTATTTTTGTCTAGGAATGGGAAGTATCGTATCCTCGCCTTTCGCAGCAATGAATCCTTTTGCCCTTCCCACGTGCAATGGCCAGTCATATGGCAGTTCTATAGTGACATCTAAGTGACGGTGGAGTTGCGCCTCAACAGACTGGCGACTTTGAATCGACCGCAGACATTCCTTTTCAACAGGCCCCCCTCACATCCGATCTGGGCTTATAAGCCCTTTTGGAATGTAGCCATTTGCGTGGACTAGGCAGCGACATTTACAGTGACAGGAGATTTCTGGGACATATCCAGCAACTGAACACTGAAGGACACAAATCTGAATGCTGTACAGTTGATGCGAATCGCAAAATTTCATTGCCACCATTTTCATCTTCCGGTGTGTTTTACTTCAACTGCACTTGTTTAAGAACAAAAGACATCGGAATTCTAGGTTGAGATCCTTTGTGATACAACCTTGTTCTAAAGAGTCGCAGCAAATGGAAGTTTCTACAGAGTTTTAAAGACATGGAAAGAAGTTTTGAGTGCTGTAATCACACGAAACTGAATTACGTTTCAATATTTTTCTGTTTAAGAAGCCATTAGAAAAGATATAAATATGTATAGGTTCTGTTTCTCGTAATGGTTTGGCTTTGTTTAAAGCAGTTAAACAGGGATTTAAAGAAAGTATTCAATTTTAAAGGGCGCAAGTTAATGAAAATACGAAAAAATATTCATTACTGAAAAAAGATTCATTACTGAAAATAATAATGCTATAAATGCATTTATGATAAGTAATTTATTGTTTTTTAACTTCTGAGTTTTTAGGATCTGCTGGTAAGATCCTAATACTTGAATTCCAGCGCCATAATTACGTCAAATAACTAAAAAAGAATTTTTTGTTTGTCTCATGTTTTAGTTTCTGTCCATTATTTATTAATGTTATACAAGAGAAAGAAAGTATTATTTTTCAAGTTGATTATTTGTTTTTCTCTATAAACTCGTTGCCTAATTATTGTTATATTTCTATATTTATTACATTAGAATTTTTTATTATTTATATTGAGTGCAATTATATTTGTCATTAAAAACATTATAAATGCTCAAAAGCAAAATTTTTTTTCTTAATTTAAATTTCGCTATTTCATATTTATATTTAGCCGATGAATGAAATTTATAAAATGTTTTCTTTCGGTTTCCTGAGAGGAAGAATTTTATAGAGTAACACATCAACACTGTTTCTCAAAAGACTTTTCATTTTAGAAAAGATATTAGCCGATGACAAAATATTTTAATATTGTGTATCGTTTGAAAACAAATTATAATTTCTCTATCAAACTCATAATTTAGAACGATGTTTGAAGAGGAGGTAGATGTAGATAAATAAAAGAGTCGGAGAGAATCATGAAATGTGAGAATGATAAATATTATTCCGATCCTTAGAGCTGCTATTACATCCAATTACTTTTCAAGAATTCATTGTCAAAACTAGTATTTAAAATTCTCACAATGTGTAAATTGAAAGGACATTTTACAGTCACTCGTGCATTTTGCGAGAGATCTTAAAAGTACACAAGCAAGTCAACCACATCGTTCATCAATAGTTCACGGACATCTGTATATTTTAGTGATCTTAGCTTCTTTCACAAACATTAATCCTTAGGGCAGAGAGACGAATGCTGAAGACAATATCAATCTCATATTTTTCTTAAATTACATTTGAATACTTTCTCTGGAATATTCTTTTCCTTAAAAGCTTCTCTTTAATCTAATTTCCAAAACCTTCTTCCTGACTGTTATGTCAGACCACTGAAACGTTTCGTTTTCCACACTTGAAGTAAATTAAAAAAAAAAAAAAATCGTGGTAGTTCCCGAAGTCTGGATTTCGACACACCAGAGGACCGGGAGATAAATTTTAGTGTATAGTGAAGTTCCGTTGTTTTATGTGTTTTCTTAGATTATTATATACACATATAATATATTTGTTAATTATATTTACTAATTAGTTGTTAGTAGTAAAATTTATTTATTATTATTTCGTCAGTAATATCTTCTACAGTTCTCCATTTTGTAGCTGTTTTCTTCCAAATTACTCACCAAAAATTGTTACATGCATGCGGAACACGATTGTAACTATAAGTAAGTGGATCGCGATGTTAAAAACGTTTGAAAAGCACTGTTACAACTACACCTGATTTCTTATTAGTTGAAACTGAATTATGAAGTTTCGTTTCGGCCTTTTTCAAGTAAATTATTATTTGAGCTCTAAAGATAAGGTATTTAAAAATTTTAAAGCCATGCAATGTCCTAATGAATTAAATTAATTGCCAAATAAAGAAATCAAGTTAATTAAGTTCATTAAAAGTGCAAAAGTTTAAAAAAGCAAAATTCCTGAAATGTACCGATTAATTTTTATGCTAGGATATTATAAAATGTTCCTCTAGCCGTCTTAATTATGTTTATTTTTAGAAAAAGAGAAAATTTACTGGTTTGCTTGCGGAATATGTACACCCCCCCCGTAAAGATATAGCCTTTTCCTTTAAAATAAACCTTACTCTCAAAACAGTAATTTATGTAATTTTTATTATGAATTTCTTAGGAAAAATATACTATTAAAATTGCAACTAATTATTTAATTTTTTTGTTTTTCGTTTTCCCCCTACGATCTAGCAAATAAAATTCAGTATATGAGATTGCTCAAAGTTGTTTTTTATTTCCTCGTTTAGATTCTTAATGACTGCTTGGAGTTTGCAAGATTTTTTTTAATGTGCAATGTGAATATGAGTCAGTTTCCTGTATAAAGTTTTCCATCGAGGCATTTTTTCCCAGACAACTAGCTTTCAAGTTCTTTGCTGCAGTATATACTGAATGAGCTAGTTGCAAATTCGATTTGGATGTACAATTTTCTTAATGTGGAACCTTATGATAGATAGCTAAACTAACCGAGCAAAAATTACGGATAAATTCAAAAATTATTGACACATTTCAAACGTATGTTTATAGTTATCAGTAAAATACATTTTAATAAAATTTATGAATTAAATTAAATACTGACTTTTTGTAAAATTCATGGTTAAAAAAGTACACAGGAATTTAAATTTTTGACATGAAAGTAAGAAAATCGGCATTCCTTATATTTTTCAAGAGTTCAGTACTCATACATTTCGATATCAGGTATGATTTTTATAATTTCAAAATTTACTTGTTTTCTAGATTAAAACCTTACGTTTCATTATGAGATACTCGTTTTAAGTTTTTTGGGGAGGAAGAATTCTTTTACATTTTGGGCTAAGAAGATCCTTTCATTAATTTTCTGTTAGGTTTTTAAATACGATTTGGTACTTCATGTACAATGTTAAATGATATAGTGGTATGGAAAGGAGAAGTATGTAACAATAACATGCTCAGCTAATTAGCTACGCACGCTAAAATTTGGAAATTTTCTTCTAAACTTTAATTTGACATTTTCTATATTCTAACAGAACAACATTACGTTACGCCGATTTATCAGTAGCACTTTACTGAAATTTCATTCACACCCGGAGCTCAGTTACAAATAATCTTAAAAAAAACTAGTATTTTTCCTCCTTCTAGGTATATTTATTCCTGTCTGCTTGCTAAAATGATGTTCATATTTAAAAAAACTAACATAATCAATTTTAATGATCAGAATTTATTTTTATATAAAACTGAGAGTAAATTTACGGCGAGTTCATTTTATTAAGGGGGAAGGAATTATTACCTTAAACCTAATCAATGAGAAAGCTGAATTAATAAACTTTCTTTATTTCAATCTGATTTACGTATTAGATAAATTATATATTAAATTTAATATTGACTTTTTAAACTTCATGCGTTAAAAGTAAATCGAAAGATATATTTTTCGCAGAAACTGAAAATGTATTCCATGAAGTAAATGATTTCGAGAAGATTAATTTTGAGGTGACAGAGGTTAGTTCCTGATTTATAAAAACGAATGCATATTATATGTACTCGCTTTCTTGTAAGCATTAAAAAGTTTTAACACGAAAGCTTAAGAAAACAATATTGTCATCAATGCTTTTCATGGAAGACTTTATAAAAGAACTCAGCTTGCGTTTTAAGTAAGCGGGAAAACACGGAAGAAATCCAACTCAGGCATTTCGCTTTAGAGAAGATCGAGCTTAGAGAATAGAAGTAATAGACACTTTTATCTCCTTGGACTCTGCTGGTGTGTTGTAATTTTAACTGAAAAAAATAAAATGGGAGGAAATGGAGTAATGTTATTCTTTATTTAAATATTTTCCCCTTTCTTTAAATTGTGAGACAAAAAAGGAGGAAAAAATCGGAAAAAAAATAATGATACCTTGTAAACAGTTTAAGACTTTATGGGCTGTTAGATGATACCTTGATAAAAAGTTTAATGCTATAATTTAACCTTGATAAACAGTTTAAGACTTTATGGCTGTAAAAAGTTTAAGACTTTAACTAATAATATATTTCTTTTTATACTATATTAATTAACTCAAGCTTCTCGTTTTGTTTGGCTTAAGTCTAGCCTGAGATAATTACTGCGATTAAAAAATTTAAAAGTGTTATGTGAGATCAATATGAGCATTCATATCTCTGCCCTTAGGTGAGAGAGCTTCATTAAAGTTTTAAATTTAGAAACGACAGTTTTAAAAACGTGTTCCATTTTTTAAAAAAGAAGGTGTCTTAAATGACGCATATCCTAAGACAACATGCTCTCACGGTTATTGTCATACCTTTTACAACGCGCTTGTACTTTAATCGAGACATCACTAACAAATGGCAATTTTACCTAATGTCCTGCCTTGGCCACTCAGAAGAAAACTACAGATAACTAAAATCCAGAATTGAGATTCAAGTATCATAAGGATTTAAAGCGCAGCAGTACTCTTAAACGAAAGTGTTGTTAAATTAATTCTATAGCAGAAAGCTTTTCTAAATTAGAAAGTGAAGAAGTGTGCTGTTTTTTGCAAGTCTGCAGTGCTGTGAATCCTTATAGTAACTTAGAGTTTCAAAGCATCTGGCTTCTGTAAAGATATATATGAGACCTTGTAATATTCATTTGATGCAGTGTTCATGTACATAATCTATACAGGCAGTTTGGCATGTGATAAATCCATTTATCATACTTCTGTAATATAATGTTCGTCTACTTAAATTACCTCTGATCTCTGAAATTTAAAATTGGGGCATTCTGTGTGTGACCACATCAATTTAATTGTTTAATTCTAGTCAAGTTTTGGTTGATATTAACACCCCATGTTCTCAGTATGACTGAGAGGTCAGTCACCATCATCATACCATTGTTTGGTGTTTTTAAATAAAAACAAAACGTAATTTTATGCTAAATGATATTTTTGCTTCATTTCTATGTGCACTGTAATTCATTTACTTAGAAGTGTGATTTGAATTTTTGTGGAGCGAAATAATGTTATAGTACAGCAATCATATTGCATCCTTTAACATCAACAAAAATAATCAAGATTTTTAAGTTATGTGTCATTCTCATGACTATTACAGAAAAGAATTGAAGAAAAATAATTTAGCTAATAAAAGCTTTTCTGATAAAACCCACAATATATGCACGACATCTGATCCAATATGCATAGTAATACAGTCTCGGACCAGAATTTTTATTCCTTTTTTTCCAGTTTAATAGAAATGGTCAGTTACCTCATAAAATAAATATCTCTAAATTTTCTCCTGAAAGAGTATTGCGATGGATAACAAACACACTCTAAGTAAATCACATTGTACAGCAAGAATTCCATGCCGGTTTACCTGAAGTCCCGTTGGCTTTCCATCCAATGCAAAATTAAACTGAAGTTACTAACTCGATAATGTAATAAAGAAATTTTACCACTCTACTACCATTCTTTTGTGCAACTGCAGGTGAGTGATATTATTTTGCCAAATAGTATTTACAAGCATCCTAATGAAAGGTGAGTGAGAAAAGTATTTTATGGCCACAAGATTTCTAAACCGGTACCCTGATTATTAGAAAAGTAAGTAGGAGTACAGTGATTGTTTGCTCAGTTTTCACA